AACCCGAGGACGGATTTGTCTCGTAATTCGCGCTTTTATCGTCCGATCGCGCTCGAACGCGTATCTCGCGACACCGGTTAGTCCTTCACCTTTCACGTACTAATTAACCAATTATGTACTCCTCGTTCCGTCGATGTTCGTCCCGGCGAAAACTGGTTTTCCGTCCTCGCTACCTATCGCTAAGCTTCGACGTGCTTCCGTATCGCACGTTCGCACACGCGTGGGGACTCTCTTGTCCGCCGAGCCACGCCACGCCGCGCCGCTTAGACGCGCCACCGTGAACTCAGATAAGCATCGTGTAAACTCTAATGCCATGCTACGACTAACGCGATCGTCCGAGCAGGTAGGTAGTGTCCACCGTGCTTATTCTTTTCCTACACACCATCTTTCGCGATCTCTTCTTACGCTGCAAACGTCAAGAGGGACAACGACGATATTCGAAGAAGGATGGGACATGGAAAATTGGCGGAGACCTTTCATAAAATATTTCCAGTCTATCGACAGTCGTACGTACCTACTTATGTACATATATCGAATAGACCGTTACGGTCCGATATTTTTCTCCAACGGATGGATAATAACGAGTTTGCTATAGCGTATCGTTAAATTATACACCGCTAAACGATCTCTCTGTGCCTCTGTTGGAATAAGCAAGACTTATCGATTTAGTCATGCCACGATTCGCCAAGTGTCAGAAAGACCGATAAACAAACACGCTTCCTCTTCGCGTTTCCTCGGGCTCGATCTTCAGGGTTCTGCCTCGTAATCCCGCCCACTTTCGATCGCGATGCGCATACATTTCCACGCTTTCCATACATCCCCGTGCACATCCGAGCACGAAACGGGCGTCGACGTGCTCGCGTGCCCTGCCGATAGCTTTCTCGCGATCGTTATCGCTGCTGACCGTCTCGTTTCTCGATTTTCCTCGATCCTCCCGACGATTCTTTCCAAGCCTAAACATCGACTCGAATTTATGTGGAACGTCGCCTTACCGTCAGCAAAATTACTCGCACGGTACGCTGGCACGTGACTTCGTTACAGACTGTCGCTCGCAGCGCTCGCGATGCAAATTCGTTCACCGACAGACGTTCGATAATTGCCTCCGATTTGTCATTGGATAATTCCTGCCCACGGAGCGGGAGCGGTAACGGCGTCGCGTCCTGAACACGTTCAAAGAGCCGATTTCGAAAAGATAGCATAGTCGATCGCGCGGGCACCTCTTGGATCCTGCCAATCCTGTCCGAGTTGAAACGCTTCGAGAATTGCCATCGCTTTAAGCTACTAACAGAACACACCCACGAGAGCGAGCATGTTTCTCACCGGCATGAGTTATTCATGCCGTATATGTACTCTGCCACTTACACGCGTTCTAACGCCACGCATGCACGCTCGCTTTCTCTTTCTCTCGCTCCCGTCCGATCTCTTCCTCTTCGTCCTCGTCTTCATCTTTTTCCCCGTGCTTCGCTACTTTCCAGCCCACGCATTGTAATCTGGTTGATGCGCGCTGCTGCAACAAAGGGGGGAAAAAGGATAGCGGAGGAGGAATGTGTCGCGCGCGGCATGTGGCCGCATTACGTACGGTTTGCGCGCTCGATCGGAACTTGTGAAGCGCGAGCAGGAAATCCCGTTCCTATATACGCGCCTAGAGGGGCTGGCTTTTCGGCGATTCCTATCTCCTTTAATTTGAATAATCGTCGCTGGTTGCGTTTGCCCGTCGTTTTCGGCTCGCAGCCTTATCTCGCGGCTTTATCCTTCGCGGCAGATGCTCGCTCGAGTGCGCGTTTGTCGTCGCGACGGCTTACTCTGCGTTCCAGGAGCTCTCTCCTCGAGAACTCGCTGTGTATCTTACGTCGCTCTATACTCTTACGCTTACGGTGCAGACAGTTTACGTTTTCCACGCCGGCGGATGCGTAGAAGGAAAAGCTGGCGCCGCGACGCTCTCGACCGAGCCCTCGAGACTGCTCTCGCTCGAGTAGCTGGAACGCGGTACCTTTACGTTATATCCCTTCTTCACAGACAACCGCCCGATTCCTCGTCGCTTTCTCCGTTTACTTCT